TGACACGAGTATAATGTGAAGAAAACAACACAACGACACACAGTGAAATTCACACATCAAATCCTTGTGTACCACACACCGCAATCTATGTGTACGCACATACAGGATTTGAGTCTTTCATGCGTCTGCAGTCATCCGCTGCGCGGGCCAGATATAGCTCAGTGGATCCATGTGTACGCACACACAGGAAGGCACGAAGAAGCCGAGAGTACTCGATTTTGAGTCGTCGTCAGGTCGTCGCCTGTGCAATCGCAAGATATCAACTCCAAGATATGACAACCATGGGTGACGCTTCTTCTCGACGCCCCCCTCACACGTTCGGTTGCACGTACACGCTCCTCACTCCTCAAGCTCTCATCTCCCACATCACACTCTTACCCAGCCTTTGTTGAGTATCTCTCCTGCTCTTCCTCTTCGTAGATAGATGTCGGAAAGGCGCAACAAACGTCTTTCAGACGGTTGCCTCTCCCTCCCGCAGTAGCGCCAAGCGCAAAACTTCCAACTACGTAGTTGGCGAAGTCCTTGGGAAGTGTGTAAACGAACGACGATTGTGACGGGGCCGACTAGACCCGTTGCTGCGCGACATTCGGCGGTTGCGCGAATTTCGCCAAGAATTGCTGTAAGATTTCCGTGCCATCACTGGCACCTCCCTGCACAACCTACCTAGTTGACATCCCGGGATCCCCTGCCTCGGCGTCCCCAACCCTGCTGCGCCCAATTCGGGGTATACTTATGTTAAACTGTTGTTGTGTAGCCACCCGCCGTTCCGTAACTTTTATCGACTTGTTACTGGGGGTGTCCCTGGCATAGCCCGTCAATCAGATTGTCGTTCGGTTCGAGGTTCTCTTTTATTAATTTGAGCCATGTTTCACGTTAGAAACTCATCTCACCAACATCGGGAAATGCACATCACACGCAAACATCACGTGACAAATTCCTCTCGGGACCGGTGAAAAGCTGGGACATTGTATGCACTCAGCCGGTCATGCCAGAACACAGGAACGTCGTCGGGAAAAGCACGTGATACAAATATCATTTCCTCGATGCCCCCATCTCATCAGTGGTGTCCCTAGCACCAAAACGTGTCTTCTGCAGAAAGTACAAGTATCTTGGAATCGCTTCTCTGAAGCGTGGCGGCGGAAGCCGCCGAAACCCTTGTACCAATGAAAATATGAAAACAACTGGCATCCCGCGTGAACCGCGACCATCCAATCGTACGTTTAGTGGCCTTGTCTCTGCTTGCGTGTGAAGAACCAAGATTGAAGCAAGGAGTTGTACCACTTACTCTCTGGCCCGTGATGCTGACTCCTACTGTAGTCTCAGTTGTTACCTGGCATAGCGCGCAGAGGGAGCGGAGGACTCCAGAATATCTGTCGTTGATTTCTATTGACTTGCGGACCTCTCTGGGCCAGTTTATTTGAGTGTACCGTTTTAGGGTAAGTTACCCTGTGACCACGGGAATCGACCGCGTCAAGTGTTTCATCAGTACGGACATACGAAGGTACTGGGTAGAGAGAGATCGGAACGGCTTTATGTGAAGACAGCAACAACAACAACAACAACAACAAAGGGGTGGCGCTCCGCTGACTCCGTCCCCACGTGTCAAAGCTCCGCACATGTACCTCATTCCGGCAGCTAAAAAGGAGTTCAATCTTGGACTTGGGGGTCGGAGAGATCGCACCGGGTGCGATCTCACCGACCCCAGTGCGTAAATTAAATTTTAATTTATCGTGTTTTGTATCGCACCCCGGTGCCATCTATCCGACCGGTGCCATCTCTCCGGCCCGTGCCAACTCCTCGGCTCTTACGGTATACACTACGGTTCACTTTTCCCTCTTGGCGGAGGCGTGCTCAGGGTGGACCTTGTGAAAAATACGGTGCATCGAAAATCGAAATCGAACTTGGATTTTGTCTTTTCTCTTGTATGAGTGCTGTACATGCCTACTCTGCCTTGTTGGGTACCTTCATCTCCCTTTTGCTGTTGCTTTTGCTTTTTATTCATCTGGCTGTCTGCCCATCTGCCGGCTCTTTGTTCTGTTGCCTCCATTGCTCCCATGCCCTGGTGCGTAGTGCCTGGTCCTGGTACGTTACCCTTTGGTTTTTTAGGCGGGTGTGGGAAGCGTCCTCCTTTTTTGTGATTGAATGCTGCGTGCTGATGCAGGAAAGCCAAAACAGCTGCCGATGAACTGCGTTTGTTTACAAAGAAAGAATTATTTTTACGGCGATGACCCTCTCTCTCTCAACTTAGAGCAGATCTCGCTCAAACAAAGTATGCCGTGCTCTGCTGGGTGTNTGCACATCACACGCAAACATCACGTGACAAATTCCTCTCGGGACCGGTGAAAAGCTGGGACATTGTATGCACTCAGCCGGTCATGCCAGAACACAGGAACGTCGTCGGGAAAAGCACGTGATACAAATATCATTTCCTCGATGCCCCCATCTCATCAGTGGTGTCCCTAGCACCAAAACGTGTCTTCTGCAGAAAGTACAAGTATCTTGGAATCGCTTCTCTGAAGCGTGGCGGCGGAAGCCGCCGAAACCCTTGTACCAATGAAAATATGAAAACAACTGGCATCCCGCGTGAACCGCGACCATCCAATCGTACGTTTAGTGGCCTTGTCTCTGCTTGCGTGTGAAGAACCAAGATTGAAGCAAGGAGTTGTACCACTTACTCTCTGGCCCGTGATGCTGACTCCTACTGTAGTCTCAGTTGTTACCTGGCATAGCGCGCAGAGGGAGCGGAGGACTCCAGAATATCTGTCGTTGATTTCTATTGACTTGCGGACCTCTCTGGGCCAGTTTATTTGAGTGTACCGTTTTAGGGTAAGTTACCCTGTGACCACGGGAATCGACCGCGTCAAGTGTTTCATCAGTACGGACATACGAAGGTACTGGGTAGAGAGAGATCGGAACGGCTTTATGTGAAGACAGCAACAACAACAACAACAACAACAAAGGGGTGGCGCTCCGCTGACTCCGTCCCCACGTGTCAAAGCTCCGCACATGTACCTCATTCCGGCAGCTAAAAAGGAGTTCAATCTTGGACTTGGGGGTCGGAGAGATCGCACCGGGTGCGATCTCACCGACCCCAGTGCGTAAATTAAATTTTAATTTATCGTGTTTTGTATCGCACCCCGGTGCCATCTATCCGACCGGTGCCATCTCTCCGGCCCGTGCCAACTCCTCGGCTCTTACGGTATACACTACGGTTCACTTTTCCCTCTTGGCGGAGGCGTGCTCAGGGTGGACCTTGTGAAAAATACGGTGCATCGAAAATCGAAATCGAACTTGGATTTTGTCTTTTCTCTTGTATGAGTGCTGTACATGCCTACTCTGCCTTGTTGGGTACCTTCATCTCCCTTTTGCTGTTGCTTTTGCTTTTTATTCATCTGGCTGTCTGCCCATCTGCCGGCTCTTTGTTCTGTTGCCTCCATTGCTCCCATGCCCTGGTGCGTAGTGCCTGGTCCTGGTACGTTACCCTTTGGTTTTTTAGGCGGGTGTGGGAAGCGTCCTCCTTTTTTGTGATTGAATGCTGCGTGCTGATGCAGGAAAGCCAAAACAGCTGCCGATGAACTGCGTTTGTTTACAAAGAAAGAATTATTTTTACGGCGATGACCCTCTCTCTCTCAACTTAGAGCAGATCTCGCTCAAACAAAGTATGCCGTGCTCTGCTGGGTGTCAGCTTTCTGTCAAGCTCTAGCGTGCATCGCCAAGCAGTCTGTAGGTGGCTAGACGAGCATCGAAGTGGAGGCATGTCCGATTCTGTGAGGGTGTGGCAGCCAGCTTGATATTCCGATTGACATTTTCCATTTTCTTTGTCGAGTCTGTTCGTGCTCGCTTTTGATGTTTCCATGTCGGAGGATATTCGCGACACTAACCCCCAGATCGAAAACGACCCGGCGGCGGAACACTGGAGCTTTGTCCAATCAGTGCCATTTTCGATTTTCGATTTTCGACGGACAACTTGTCTGACAAGGTCCACCGTTAGATGTCCATTCCATCTGGAAAGAATGCAGCGGCCAACTGTACTATGTGTTTTCCCTTCCAATTACCTTCAAGCGCGCTGTATGAGCGTTCACCTTAAGATTGCGAGTCGCCGCACCCCCGTGCGGTCGCTTTAAAGACATTTTCGCCATTGTATTTGCATCACACTCCTGTGCACTTACTCCGGGCTGTGCGATCACTCCGGACCCGGAGCAGAAATCGACCTAAATATTGGTTTTGATATGTTACGCACACCTCCTGCCCGATAACTCCGGTATGTGCGGTCCTAAGTAGACCCTGAAGGCGATATTATCAGAAAATACCTGTAGAAACAATGGAAAGGAAGCACTAGTGCATTTCAAGTTTACCGATCAAATGGAATACAGCCAATGTGTTTCGTTGCCTTCATACCTCCACGAGTGGTGTGCGACGATGGCCTACGACCTATTCAGCAGAGGTAACATGCCAGCACTGACATGGTTGCACCGGGGGTGAAAGTTGCCCCGGAATCGCTGACAATCAACTACTCAGGTTGCGAGTCATCACACCCCTGTGCGGTGGCTCTGGACCCTGTGCGGAAATCGCAGTTAATCATTCAGCCATTTAGCTTGCATTGCACCCCTGTGCGATGACTCCGGACCGTGCGGTGACTCGTAACCTTGCGGTACGTACGCTTTAAGTCTGCCCGCTGTCATTTCGTCTTTTCCAAATCTGCGGAAGACGGCCTACTATTTCGAACGAGAGCTTCTCTTGCGCAGGTCATCGCAATACCGACATCCCAGCAACGTCGCTGTTGCAGGGTGCACAGCTTTCGGACTATAGTGTAGAAGGGCGCCGTTGCAGCTTCGGTACAGCGGTTTCTCAATTCTCCCGCTTTTCGCTGCAATACTTGGTGATCGGGGAAGCTGGAGGTGACTTGACTCCAAAATTGCAGGCAGGTTGGCGGGCGCTTTCCGGGATTGAAACTACTGTAAGCCCTTGTCAAAATCAACTCCGTGCAGGTTCCCTGAACAATGGTTTCGACGGACCGTGAGGCACTGGTTTCCCTGTTTCGTTCGACCGGTGGGGCTGGCTGGATCCGAAGAGACAACTGGGACACAGACGCTGACCTCGCGACATGGAATGGAGTCAATGTTAACGTCCAGGGCCGAGTGGTTAACCTTGACCTGCAGTACAACAACCTCCAAGGTGTGGAGTTCGTCGGGATAATGTGCTGCTTGCTGATAGCTCGTACTTTCGTCTAGAGATGAATGTGCTTGATCATCCCTACGGATTCGTAGAGTAAGATACTTGATCAACGCTTGCGGCTTCCAGGACGCGTGTACTGCCTGCGCGTAGGCAGGACCAACGGTCTTGAAAAGGAGAACGGTCTCAGCATAAGCGGCACAGCAGCTGGCACACAACAAGTGACTTTTACATTGTTTTGAAAACTCCCCGGCTTCTAGATCATCGATCCTGCCGACGCGTACGCGGGATTCATGTATGTCCAGAACTCAACAGAAAAAAAAACGGTTTTCGATCTGTTCGACTCATGTTGGTGACCTTGCAGCTATAGGGATGTGGGCTGTAGATGAAAGAGTCAAAGTACTACCGGTATTGCTTAACGGGGTAAGGCAAAAAATATCCCCCGACTTCTAGAACATCGGTCCCGCCTACGGCGTTGGCGGGACAAGATCTACGGAGATTGAAGATCGAGAATAAAGACAGCCGGGCAATTTGTTTCTTATTGCCCGCATTTTTCGTATTGCTCGTCTGTTTGCAGGCTCCATCCCACCGGAGCTGGGAAAGCTCGCAGCATTGCGTGCGCTCGACCTTCACGGTAACCAACTAATTGGTGAGACGTTTACGGGAATTTCAGAATGAATCCCGCCGATGCGTGGGCGGAACCGACCTTCTAGAATCTCATCACAACCTGAAATTTCCGGTATTTCTCACTATTGGTTGTACCCGGGTGCTGATCTGGGCAGGGCGGATACCAAAGGAGCTGGGGGGCCTGACTGAGCTGAAGAAGGTCACGTTTTACCACAACAACCTTACGGGTAAGATACTGAATTTGGTACGATTTCTCCTCTATGCCTTGGGCTGTTTCCGCTTGTGGAACACATGTCCGGCCTATGCGTAGGCGGCACACATGTTTTGAAGCGCGCGGCGTCAGCAGTTTCGCTTTGGATTGACAATTTATCATTACCCTTGTTATTCGCAACAGGTCGTATTCCGGAGGAACTAGGAAACCTCACAGCTCTCACCCACCTGCGGCTCAACCGCAACAGCCTGGAAGGTCTGTATGTAGGTAGCAATACAGTACAGTCCTGGCTTCTACAGAGAAGTGTTGAATTCCACCGTAGGCAGGAATGATCATCTAGAATCTGTATCACAACGAGAAATGTCTCATTTTGGGTTGTATCGCTGTGCTGATCTGGCAGCGCCGATACCAAAGGAGCCGAAGGAGCTCAAGTTGCACAACCGTACCCAAAGACACACTGAGTATCGTATTTTCCCTCCTCATGTGGAGCTGTTTACTGTTTGTGGAAAATATGTCTCGCCTGCGTGTGGGCGGGACAGGATTCGCGGTGATCGAAGATCAACAAAAAAAGCAGATTCATTCATTTTTTTATTCCCCGCTAAGTTCGTCTTGCTCTTCTACTTCTGCTTGCAGGCCCCATCCCGCTGGAGCTGGGAAACCTCGCGGCAGTACAGCACCTATCTCTCCAGGAGAACCAGCTCAGCGGTGATTCATTGTCCATCAGTAATTGTGTAGTTTTTCACGCAATGGTATTTGCTCCATCGGTGGAGTCACCAGCTACAGTTATCTGAAACGCTGCTTAAGAAGCTGAATCCGACCAGTGGATGCAGAGATGTGCTGAAAAATGGGGGTTCCGCGGCATCTCAGGAAATAGTGATCGTCTCCAACCTCCGTCACCACAGCTCCAGTTGACCCCAAACCTATTGAATCGTGTTGGCACAGTCCACACCGTTCGTACAAACTATCGGACGCCCACGCCCGACATTTTCATGCAGAGTTATGGTCGGGGGATCCGCAGTATCTAGGAGGGGGGGTAAAAGTCATGAGTCTCGCTTTACATCCCGTCATACAGCTGCACCGTGCCAAAATTTGACCGCACCGTGTTGGCACAGCCTAAATCAATCATTCGAGCTATCGGACACCTAATCGGACCAGTTTGTGAAGAGAAACGCCCGCCAACGAGGGCTCAGTGGCTCAAAGGCCGGCGGAGTAGATAACCCATATCTGCTCCACCAGGCCAAACTCTATCCACAGGGCGCCGTTTGCCCTACGAAGACTTGCGTTGTGTTGGCACGACTCACAGCTATCTTTGAAGCGATCGGACACCCCAGTCGGACTACTGTAGTTTGGATCTGTAGACGTAGTTATTTCATAAGTCGTACGAGTCGTATGAGTACGCACCGGACAAAGTCACCTTTCGAGTCGTTAATTGACCCACCTGATATACAAGCTCCGTGTTTGTAATACTCAAGCGCTTTTCCCAGGAAACGAAGAGTGTCATCAGTCCAACCAGTATTTGAAAAAATCCGAGTACACGTTTCTGCAAGAGACCGCGCCGCCGCGGCGGAGTTGTTGGACTCAGAAACATTCCTGTACAGCGTAGGGCCCAACACCACGTGTGGATGCGCTGTTCTAATGGGGTCCCATAGCAAGCACAGCCAGACTAGGGCCAGGGTTACGTTCCCAATCCGGCCATGGGTGCAGGCGGACGTACGTGCAAGGGGGTTGAGTGGCGATGTTTCGCGTTGAAAACACAGAAGACACCTTTGCACTATTAAATTTACAATTGTAAATTTATTCGCAAAAACGGTAATGGCATTTACGATGCCGGTCTCACACAGGAATTCTCGAAGCTGAACACAATGATTCGAACTAGTATCCTCTGCGTTTGTACGGCTCTCAGCTGTCGCGCAAGCCCTTGTTCGTCTCAGAGTGACCGGTGGTTGCTTAGTTATGGCTCAAAATGGTGTCACCGCACCACCTCGGCAGTGTCGTAGATAACGTGCTCATAAACGACACTGTACATAACTTTCCGAAATAAGTTGAGCTGGGTTTCCAGGCCCCCGGCTGTCGCACAAGCCGCCGTAGGGCCGAAACCAACATGTGGTGCTCGAGGTATGCCGAAGAATGTGGCCCCTGCACCAATTCGGCGTCGTCGTAAATAAGCCCATATTTATGATGCCGCGCGAAACTTCCGAGAACACATCTGATCGGCGTAAAACCAACGTTGCTGTGTCCCCGCGGCCACCGGCTGTCGCGCCAGTCGTCATTCGGCCGAAACCAACATGTGGTTGCCGCAATGCATGTAGACCTACATGTGGCCTTTCTTAAGACAACCGAACGAGGGCGCAGGGTGGATCGGGTACATTATCCACGGAGAAGAATGTATCTCTACACCTCTATCGCTGCATACAAACGAGTGGGGAACCAGACCATGTTAGCAAGCAGTTTCATCAGCACTTTGGCCGGCGCGCAGCAGCCAGAGATCCACGGGCGTTGGTTGTGGAACGGCCCCGACCACCAAAACGTGAGCGTAACCTCGGTGGCGGAAGGGTTGTGGGGCGCAAGCGAGGGTACCCCGTGTTACGTGCACAAACGTCAGCATGAGCGTGCGGATCGAAACTGGTTCAGACGGTGCATAGGTTGACATGTGTTATTATCCTCGCCTGTCACAGTTGGTGTAAGCTGTTTCTCCGGATATCGCCGAATCTGCTGCGAAGTTTTTGAATGGAAGGAGTGGAGTTTGTCAGGCCCATGCCATGGATTCGTAACTTTTCATGTGCATGGTCCTATTTTGCCTGGGGCTGTCGTGTTGGTTTCTCAGCATTTCATAGCCAGTTCTTCAACAGTGTCGTTATGCTGAAGTACTGAAAAGACAGAGTTTTGGCATGGATATCGGTTCCCCCGACGAGACGTCTCGAAGCTGACAGTGAAACAGATATGTGGCAATCACGTCATGCGATGGCATGCTTCTGATTCGATCATACCAGAATGATGTGCGTTTCGGAGTCAGGACTCGAGTTCACAACGGTGCTTTGGGTAGAGGCAGCTCTCGAAATGAATGCCTCGGACAAGAATGAACGAGTGAAGTTCTCACGTAGGCTGGCCACAGGGAAACAGCATGTTTTAAAGGAGTCGGGTTTCGGTTTCACACCGGAATTTGGGAATCCGAAAGCCATACCAGTGAATTTCTTGAATGAGTGAGTACACTTTGGGAAGACCGTGTGCCTGTGGAGATCAATTCCTGTGACGACCCATACCATTTTCCTTGGGGATGTCACACAACTTTCACTCCCAATTCGGCGACCTTGTCGTGCTACTGAACACGCAGAGTTGCGTTTCAGATGCATATCGGTTCCCTCGACGAATAGCTACCTGGTGCACGAAACACGGGGTACCCTCGCTTGCGCCCCACACTCCTTCCGCCACCAAGGTTTTCGCTTGCTTCTTGGTGATCGCGGCCGTTCCACAACCAACGCCCGTGGACCTCTGGCTGCTGCGCGCCGGCCAAAGTGCTGATGAAACTGCTTGCTAACATGGTCTGTTGCCCCATTCGTTTGTATGCAGCGATAGAGGTGTAGAGATACAATCTTCTCCGTGGATAATGTAGCCGATCCATCCTGCGCCCTCGTGCAGCCGTCTGAAGAAAGGCGACATGTAGGTACACATGCATTGCGGCAACCGCATGTTGGTTTCGGCCGAATGACGACCGGCACGACAGCGGGTGGCCGCGGGGACACAGCAAAGTTAGTTTTGTGCCGATCAGATGTGTTCTCGGAAGTTTCGCGCGGCGTCATAAATATGGGCTTACTTTTGGCACCTCCGAGTTGATGCAGGGGCCGCATTCTTGAGCGTATCTCGGCAACCATGTGTTGGTTTCGGCCCAATGATGGCTTGCGCGTCAGCTGGGGGCCGTAGAAACACAGCAAAGTTGGTTTGTGCCCACTGGAGATGTTTTCGGAAACAATGGCGCGGTGTGGCTTATCTACGACGCCGCCGAGTTGGTGCTGCGGCCACACTCTCCGGCATACCTCGAGTACATGTTGGTTTCGGCCCAATGACGGCTTGTGCGACAGCCGGGGGCCTGGGAACACAGCTCAATTGCTTTCGTGCGTCGTATTGGCGGTGTTGTCGGAAAGTTGTTTTCGGTGTCGTACATGAGCATCATATTTACGACACCGCCGAGGTGGTGCGGTGACGCCATATTGAGCCATACCTCAGCAACCACCGGTCACTTTGAGACGGACGAGGGCTGGCGCGACCGCTGGGAGCCGTAGGAACACAGACGGTCTTAGTTCGAAGCATTATGTGCTGTGTCGTACAAGTGTTTGCGAGATTAATGTCGTACATGGCATTACCGTTTGAAAAAATACACGGAAACCGGAAGAAAGGGCTACTTCATGGTACGTCATTACATAGCGGGGTGTCGGATAGCTTGAATCATTGATTCAGGCGGCGCCAACACGGTGCGGTCAGATGTAGGGTGCAGCTGTATGACGGAGGAACAGCGGGACTTAGGACTTTTAACCTCGCCCTAGATACGGCGGACCCCGCTCGGTTGACCATACCTCTGCAGGAACATATCGGGCGTGAGCGTCCGATAGCTTGTATGAACGGTATGGACCGTGCCAACACGATTCAATAGATTTGGGGCTAATTAGAGCTGTGGGGACGGAGATTCGAGACGATAACTATTTCCTGAGGTGCTGCGAAACCCCCATTTTTCAGCATATCTCTGCATCCATTGGTCGGATTCAGCTTTCAGGCAGCGTTTCAGATAGCCGTAGCGCATACCTACACGATGCATTGATTTGAGGTCTATTTGAGCTCTGTGGGCGGAGATCTGCCTGGTGGAGCAAATACGAAGTCACTCCACGGGTGAAGCAAATCCCATTGCCTTTTTTGTGCTACATTCTGAATGAAGCCTGCAGATGGGTTGGGGGCACAGCATCTACGGAGACCTGAGTGTTCTCGATGAGAGTTCAATTTTGCTCGATTTGTTTCATCTTCCAGCCCATTGGTTCCCAGGTCGAGCGTTTTCAGGGCACCAAGGTTCCCCAACTCCAGGTGAATGGGACCTGCAGCACACGCGAAAGTCAAACGTAAGAGAGTTCAAAACATGGGCCCGGTGTCTTCTAGAACATGTACAGTATCAATATTCGTAGAGCTTGTCCCTCCCACGCCTGGGCGAGATGAAACCTACGGAGATCGAATGCGCAACACTCATGTAAACTTCCTCCCCAACCCCCAATGCTATGCAGGCGGAATCCCGGCGTCTCTAGGACAGCTCAGCGAGCTGCAACAGCTTATTCTCTGGAAAAATCGGCTCAGCGGTAAGTGTCCCCAACATTGGCAAGTACTCAAGCTTTGGGTTTGTTTAGATGCACGTCAGCGGTAAGTGTCCCCAACTACATTGGCAAGTACACGAGTTTTCGGTTTGTTAAGATGCACGATCTCCGTAGATCCTATACCGCAAACGCGTTTGGGTGAGATGTCAGTGTTTCGCACTAATTGTGTGGAAAACTATTTGAGCTGCATTTTTTTTCTTCATCTCGCCCTACAAAATGGTACAGGAACTATACCCGAGACGCTGGGGAACCTCTCAGCTCTAGTGTCCCTGCGGCTTAGCGACAACAGCCTGGAAGGTGATCGACCAACTTGTTTTTTTTCAGAATTCTGGAGGAGCATCATGCGTGAATCCCGCCCACGCGTTGGCAGGACCAGTGTAGTTCTAATAGCTTCATCACCCTAAGAATCCTGCTTTGTTTTCCCCACTATCCTGCTGCTTATACATTAGCGAAAGGAACGAATTGTATTTTTCCCGGCTTCTAGAACATACATTCTAACCCCACGCGTGGGTGGAACAGGATCTACGAACCACCTGAAATACTGGTGATTTCTCAGTTTTGTTCGTACCACTGTGCTGACCTGGGCAGGGCCAATACCAAAGGAGCTGGGGAACCTCACTCAGCTGAAGAACCTTATATTGCACAACAACAACCTCACCGGTAAGAGATTCTGAATGTTGCATGTCCTCTGTATCTCTGGTTGTTTACCGCTTCTGGAACATACGCCCTGCTATGCGAAGGCGAGTAGGGGTTCTGCAAGCGGCAGACGTTAGAGGTAAGAAACTGTACGACCCCGCATTTCCCTTATAGCTGCTTGTCGCGCTGAACAAGCTGCTTCAGCTCTGTGAGGGCCCCAAGCTCCCTGGGTGTTGGCCCTGCACCAGACAGCAGATAGTAGTGAGAAATTGTGTGATGAAGCTCCTATAGCGTCTTGCCTACGTAGATGATTGTTCTTGAAACGATAAACCCGGACAAGATTCGTATGAAGCACCAAGAGTGATTCCCTGGTTTTGGATATCTTCGCTTTCGAATTGGAAGATCGTTTTATTTTTGGAAAATACGCTGGTCTGACCTATTCGGTACACTGGTTTTCGCTGAAGAAAGCGTCGTTTGTTGAGGCCTCTGAGGTGCTCGGAGATCATGCCTGAAGAATCAGACGAAACGCAAATGGAGTATTTCGACATGGAAATGTGAATATATCTAGCGATCGTTTGCCTAGAAGGTCGCGGTATTAGTTGGGGATACCTGTAAGCGCGCTTCTCTTCATCTCATTTCTTCTAGTCGGCCGGAACGGTCTCTGGAGGGTTTAACCCAGGCTCCACGTCGGTACCGGTTTCGTAGGCGGATACAGGCGCGGCGGTATGTCAATGTGGCGGTACTTTTTTCGGCGGATCCCGGTACTTCGTTTTCTGGCGGTACTGCCTTTTGCGGTTCCCGGTACTGCCAATTTGGCGGTATTTTTCTGGCGGTACTGAAATATGGTGGTCCTGCCTTTGGCGGTTCCCGGTACTGCCAAATATGGCGGTAATTTTTCTGGCGGTACTAAAATATTGCGGTACTGCCTTTGGCGGTTCCCGGTACTGCCGACTATGGCGGTATTTTTCTGGCGGTACTGAAATATGGCGGTACTGCCTTTCCCGGTACTGCCAAATATGGCGGTATTTTTCCGGCGGTACTGAAAAATGGCGGTCCCGCCTTCAGCGGTTCCCGGTACTCCCAAAAATGGCGGTATTTTTCTTTGATATATGGCGGTGCTGCCGTATTCACATTTTCGGTCGGCCAGCGTCGACCATGGTGTTAAGACTCGTATGGGGATTGCAGCTCTGATTCGCTCGCTACCACCGATTCCCTCAGAGTCACATCCACAGCATTGCTCCCATCCACCGAATCACCGGCAGCAGGCGTCACCGACAAAGCAGCAGAACCACTTTCTACACTACTAGTAGCAACGGCATTCCCATGTAATGCGCTCATTGCTCTGCTGGACGTTGGGGCAGAGTGTGCGTGTGTGGGCAGGAACCGGCACCCATCACGGCAGACATCCATCTCACGGTATCACGGGAAATATGAAAGAGGTTCTACCGGAAAGGAACATGGCAGAACCAAAAAGGAAAGATAAAAAAACTGTCACACTTTCATCTACTTTGTATATATTATATTTTCTGAACATGACCCAACGAATTCATCTCTAAGAGAAGCGTCTAAGATACATAAGCAGTGAATTCAATACATCGTATGATGAAAGAAAGAGAAAAAACAAAGAGAAAAAGAAAAGAGAAGAACAGGACGCCCAGCGAGTTATGAACCCCTGTCTTTCGAAACCTAGCCCCTCGACTCACCTCGATACACCACCTGCAACGAGCATTCTTACGGAGGATATGAGTGACGGCGGTTCCGTTGTGGCGATACTGCAGTACGGCGGTACTATTTTGGCGGTACTGCAGTACGGCAGTACTATTTTGGCGGTATGCAGTACGGCGGTTCCGTTTTGGCGGTACTGCAGTGCGGCGGTACTTTTTCATCGGTACTAAAATATGGCGGTTCTTTTAGGCGGTTCCCGGTTCTTCGCTTTTTGGTGGTAATTTTTAGACGGTCACGCAATATGGCGGTTCTTTTTAGGCGGAAGGCGGTTTTTCGTTTCTCGGCGGTACCGCCTTCGGCGGTTCGCGATACCACCGAAATGTGGCGGTAATTACCGCCAGTACCGGGACCGCCCGCCACGGCGGGGCAAACCCCCGGAAATTTTCCCGACGTGGACCCTGGATTCAACAATCGGTGAAAAATACCTTTCCCGATTTCAACTGAGTTAAATTAATCGTTTTAGTAGGGAGCTCGCAACGAGAGTTGCTTGTGGGATTAGCGGTTGACGGAAAAGGCAGAGCACCGCAGCGCGCTACAGTAGAGCTCCCACTACTTCTAGGGGGTTCGTGGCCAAGGTAAAGTTGGGAAGCCAGATATATATCTATGCGACGCGCCGTTGCGCGGACTTTCGCATCTGCTCGTGTCTGCTCGATCTCGGACACTTCACGTTGCGTCTACTTGGTCGGCATGCATGCCGATGGGAGCAGTAAATGTAAGTTGTGGGTGAGTCTCAACTCAATGCGAACCTGAACTGATGGTCACAAGAAGAGTCGAAATATTACGAAGGTTGGGCGGGACCACGGGCCGACGCAGGAGGCCTCACCAAATCCAATACTTTCATCAAATTATCCCTTCAAAGAAGAGAATGCCTTGGTAAAGTGCTCGCCACCGGTCCAAAGCTCGAAAGAACGCATATTTGTTTGTCCGAATCCCCGCGGCGCCAGCTACCAGCTCATCGGTCGTCTTTTTCGCAGCCCGTCTGAGCTTGGTTGATGACTTTGCTTACGTTGGGGCTGTGTCGGTGTTTGGTCGTCTCATCATGAATACATCAAACCACACAAGGCCGAAAGCGAAATTGCAGGAGTTCATATAATCCCTATTGAATCAACTTCACGCTTCGCTTCCACGAGGTAGGCACCCGTAGCCAGGCGGCGTTTGCCATGATTGACCTCCCTATCCTAACCCTAACCCTAACTCAGGTTTCAAGCCGAGTCGTTTTTGTTGAGGCGGAAACATGCATATTCCGGAGATCCCCGGGTTGTTGGGTAAACTGCTTTTGCTGAGGTCTCTGGTTGCTCTCTGTGTGTATGCGATCTGCGGGCCTGGGAACCGCTGCGATGTGGCCGACACCCCGCGCTGTCCCCAGGGTTATCTTGGGCGGCTGGAAAAGCCCACAGAGGGTCACTGTGCAGTGTTCATCCTTTGTGGTCGCCTTCATGTTCTCTTAGATGGCATACAGGGATTTCGCATCTCCTTCCCTAGAGTGTACTCATGAACAGAGCCCTTCGTTCGGCTAGACACAGCCTCAAGGATAAGTGACTGCTGTGAGAGTCGGCTCACGACATCACCATCTGGGCCTTTGTTCTTGAAATACATATGCGAACCGGCCACCGGTGACCGGATAGTATTTCCTGCGCTCGTGAAGTAATCAGTACTAAAGACTATACCCCGCACTAAGGGTTGGAGTGTTGCGGACGAGACTTTCGTTACACAACACACACCTGTGCTGGAGATTCTGCCTCAAACCACGATCAGCATGTGCGCTTGCGCTCCACATTTCCTTTGACCTGAGCCTATTGGTTATGCCTGGCCAGACTTTGGCTTGTATTCCTATTATTTAGGGTCAGTAAGTCTACTACGGCGCGGTGTTCTGACAACACGGACTGTTCACCTCCAAGACAGCAAAGATAGTTGATGACGGCCCCAGGCAGCGGCTGGTGTGTACCACCAACACAACTCAGCGATGCCAACCATACCACGACCGCCTGCCCATTCACGGCTCATCCGCCCGATTTTGCGCGATCTGTTTTTCATGCACTTGCATGTGGGTTGAACACCTGCTCGGTCGTAGTTCTTGCAAAGCAGTTTCATCCACTTGTGGGTGAATGCCATGGGTTCCAAGCGGACGGAGAAAAACATACTTCTACCCCCGCTTGTGCATAGACGCGGATGCCCCCACACGACACGGAAATAACGGCGGATGCTAGACCCATGGTCAACGGCCATGTATGTGCAGTACCATTTTTCGTTTTGGCACTGGAATAGAGGTAGAGATGTTTAGCTCAGGCTCAACTTGCGCCTTGCGGCCTCGCAGCGGCCGCTCACGGCGATGCGGCCGGAAAAGGCCTACTCTCAAATCGAACACAATACCGCACGAGCGCGGCTTCCGCCGCTGAGGGCGCCGTTCGGTCTCTCTCTCCGCAGAGCCCGCGGGATGTCCTCTCTGCGAAAGACGCCGCCGCTGAGGGTGCCGGCGCCGAGCGCCGGACGAGCTGCCCGTGGCGTCGAAACCGTTCCAAAACACGTGTTGGCATCTGGTTCTGCACCGCTGACCTCTTCGGGCGGAACTGCCAAGAATTAGCCATGTCGTTCGGCGGAACTCTCGATCGGTGTACTTTGGAACTTGAAGTTATCACAGGACTCGGAACATGTCTAGCAAAACAAGAAAACACATAAATCTTACTTGCCACGAAATGGTAAAAATGAATTTGCTACACCATCGTGTGACACTGCTACCTTGCGTGCGTGCGACCGAAAGTGGGCAAACATCGTTCCCAATAATGTGAAAAATGTGGCAGCTTGCCGCATGTTGCGAAAACTAGTTGTGGCTCGCGGAACTCGGAACATCTCTGTTCTTGAGCTATGTTTCTCGGGGAAACGGGGATGTGTGTGCGAAACAATCTACTACATCTGCTATTTGAGCCCCACAGAGCCATAGCTATACAAAGTTGCACAAGAAGAGGCTGGCACATATGTTTGCGAAACGTGTCAATGTATGCGCCCTTCTCCAACGCTTTGCAAAAAATTCAAAGAGCAACATTCAACAACAGGACGTCAGCGCTTTCTTCCAACTTCGAAGTTGCCTCTTCGTTCTTTTCTGCTCTACGCTACCTCAGTCACCGTCTGTCCCACTTGGCACTACGTTTGAAGCCTGCAACTGCTACGTCACTTACCGTTTCGTATGCACATCCACTCAACCGGAGGACGGGGGCGGGCGGTAGCCAATACTATCCTCACATCGTGCCTGGTTGGCTTACGGACATACCGCTAGGCTTTCGCCGTGGTCGAAAATGCGCTTATGCATTCCTCTGAACTAGTGCGCTGTCTGTTTCCCGAAGATGTCTGCAACCTTACGCCTCGACGACACCCCTGCCTACATGTGCTGCCGCGGCGTTCTCTGGCCCCGCGGCTCTATGCGACTGCCTGCGTGTCCTTCTGCTTGGCAACTTTGGTTCGCGTGACAGCTCTCTGGGACCACACACAAAACGTTCAAGATGTCAACCACGACGGAGGTGACAGCATGTCAGGTAAGCATTCGTTCAGCGACGTATGGAAAGCGGTATCCTCGACACAATCATTGTCTGCTGCGAGTAGACAAAACTGTACTAGGCCTGGGTTGAAAAACCGCGGTGACATACAGGCGTACTTATGCCGGTTGTCCTCGATCCCAGCAGCAGAGCCAGGTTGGACTACTCAGCTTGTTGCACCTCTTGGAGAAAGTGCACCTTGTCAGGAATGACTGGGTTGAAAGGTAGACGCAGTCTCTCGTGGGCTCTGGTGGTACCCGTGAGTTGCCTGATACATCGTGCATCGTCTTGTAGCATACCTGTCACACAGGGATTGACGTGGGACGTCCGTCGGCGGTAACTACGGTTGTGTATCGGTGATACTGTAGTACTGCTGCGTGATCGACCTCTTGTACCTGCACTTTCTCGTTCGGCAACGTCTCGACGTGGTCGTCCATCGTGCACCCACCACACAGGAACGCTGAGTAGGTTACGCGGGAACTGCCCGCAGTGTATAACTGGAGCCTCTACCCTCTGATTTCGTGATCACTGGTGGCTCGAGCGATGATACTAATTTAATCAAAGTGCATGCTGTATGTTGCTCGCTAGGTGGACCAATGCCCAGCCAGTTGTGCCGGCTGCTTGACCTCCTCGAAAGTCGTGAAGCGGGGCGTCATCTCAGCCTCAATTCTAACCCATGGGCTGAGCCACCCGAGTCGATCGTGGCCAAAGGTCTGAAGAGTGTCAGAGGGTATTTCGAAGACCTGTTTGCTGATCACTGCCGGATCAAGCGGCGCGGCGTCAAGGTTGTTCTTGTCGGGCAGGAAGGAGCGGGGAAAACGAGGTTGGTGATGTGATGACCCTGCTGTTGACCACTACTGCACCTGCACCAGGGGTTGGCTTCGATCGTATCATGCGCAGTTCGATCAGCCACAATCGTGCGTTGGTCATTTTCTTCACAGAATTGTTTGGTTTATTCACGACGAGCGGCAGCTACTTGCCGTGTCGTGTCTGAAACCCTCCTTCGTGGCTCCAATTCATTTGGTGTTGTACCTAACCTGTGCGCGAGTGATCGCACTCCATCTACCGACCGTCATAGCTCGATTGCTCCCAAGCCGAAACGTGCCGAGAGATCTAAGGACGTTTCCTCGACGAGATCTTCCGAACCTTTGGTTTCGGAACTGGTGCTCCCTTTGTGGTGGCGTAATCGAATTACGAATTTCAGTCTACGGTACAGCCAGTGGTATTCGAACACTCGCGCCATCACGGTATATATGCTCCACTTATTTGTGCCCAAATGAGGGGGTTGAATGTCACGGTTTAAACGTATGGTTGTGAGAGTACAAGATCCACGATACTGTTCCGCCCGCTCATCGGCACGTAGGCTGCTGCAAACCAACCGCGGCGATTTCAACGTTGTTGCGCCCAAGCGACCCTGTTCCTACACCTTTCCGTCATTCGCGCGACTATATTGTTGGAAACTGGTCTCTTATGTGTGTCAGCTTGCGCCAAAGCATGAAGGCCAATAAAGCAACTCCCACGGGCGAGTGGAAGGAGGAGAGCACGGTGTTTGCAGACGTGGAGCCCATGAAGCTGGAAGGCTCATCTGTACGGGTGTACGACTGCGCTGGACAGGTGACGGGTTGTTCGTGCTTGAGCGTTTGTTTATGGGTGATTGGGGGAGGCGTTGCTTGGAACCGTCGCCCAGGAGATTTCGCTGTCTGCCCTACGTGCGAGTGACGACTACGCGCAGCACGACGCATTCGCTCAAAATTCTTTCCAGCTTGTCCCCCCCAATGACTGTCATCTCACCGATTCGCAACATATTCAAGTGCTTGACATATTGTATCTTCACTTAAGGACGTGTTTCGCCACTGGCCTGTGAAATGTATCGCCCAGGTGCGGTTTGCCACGGGTGTAGCGTCTTGGGGTTCATGGGGCGCCACTGAATTTTGCGCTCATCTCCGCGCGTGCGCCGAATTTGTGTATGGATCGAGCCTCTGTCGGAGGAAACTTGAGATATAGCCGATATGATTTGGATGGGATATTTGGCCGGTTCTGAATATTTCCATCCAAACTCGCGCCTTTCGAAAGCGCACTCTTGCGAGTCCCCCTAAGCCAGTGAGAACCCTCCGCTCATTTCTTCGTGATCGTGCCGTGGTGGAGAGGATGCGCTGCTACTATTGGCTCCGGGTCGCCGTGTTGGTTGAGGCCACGAAGTATACAATCCTGATCTGGCGTTGCCACAGGACAATTGGCACGATGATGCTGTTGCGCGAGGGGGTACAATTTCTAGCTTTGTATTTCCATGATCTAATCTACGTGTTGCAGGTGCTAACGGGTGTTTCCCGCAGTACTTCCACACTTAACAACATATTCGCCTGATTGAGAGCGAAGTATCTGATTGAGAGCGAGAGCCAAAAAAATTGAAATTTCGGGTCCAGACGCCTCTTGCCATTTCTTGGCAAGTAGGGGACGGGCTATTCCAAGAAGCGGTGCAAATTGAAGGTCTCATCAGCAGCTTCGCGAGCATATGCGTGTCATCGTCATCGGATGCTGCAGCGAGGAGCTAGACAAGTTGCTAGATTTGCCCAGATTGGCTATTTCTGCTCAAACTGTTTCAGGGCGGTATCGCGTCGGGCGGTGGGCTCTGCTGTAGCTTCTGCTCCCCGCTGTAGCTCCACAACGAGAGACTCCCACAGGATGACCAGGGTAGCGGCTTGAAGCTACGGGCTAGCCCTTCAATTCAAGCTACACAGCAAGCTCCACCTCTCAGTGGTAGTCCGGCTACAGCGTATCGCGCAATCTCGCTCTCAATCAGATGCTACGCTCTCAATCAGGCGAATATGTTGTTACTTCCCGTACAGAAGACAAGAGTACTCTTGCCCCTTGAGTGTGCAGGAATTGAGATAGTGCTTCGCAAATGGATCACACTCTGTAACTATGTGCTGCAGTGCCCCGAATAGAGGCTTCCCCCCCGCCTTTGCGTGGCTTTTTGAGGTGCATATATATCCGGGGTAGCGCATTCTGCTTCGTGATTCGGAGGTGGCTCCGGTCTCGGAGGGCCTAGAGTAGTTCCATGAGGAGCTGTGCTTTAATTCGGGAGAGGTGCACTCCGCACGGACGAGGGACCACGTGCTTGATGCTGCTTGATACTAAGCTCACAGCGCTCTCCTTCAACAGGTTGCCTACACGGGGCTGCTGCAGATGTTCTTGACGCCACGGTCGGTGTGCGTGCTTGTGTGCAACGCGGGGGAGTTCCGACAGCAGCTAGGTAGCGACAACATTGACCAGGTTGAAGAAGACTGCCGCAAGCTGGAAGGATTGCGCGTATGCGATTGGCTGCGGTCAATATCTTGTCGCGTTCCTGGCAACGACGTCATTCTCGTCGCTACCAAGTGTGACTTGGTGAACGGGAACGTTGAGGAAACTGGCCAAAGAATAGAGCATGCCTGTCGGACTTGGCTTTCGAGCTGGGTTCGCAATGGTATGGACTCCGTTCGGCTGGAGCGACACGTTTCCCTCACGAGTTGCTTCCCGATAGGAGCTAGTGAGCATGGCGAGAGTAGGCGTGGGAATCATGCGTTGAAGCAGGGCTGGGCGTGCGACTGGCGAGATGTGGAAGGAGATATGTCCTCGCCAAGTTTGCTTTACCGGCTCGTCAACAAGCCTGACCAAGGTGGGCTCCGAGGCGTCCAGATGGTGCTTCCTCGCAGCTGGGATGTCGCCCTCACTTTCCTGGATTCTCTCGAGTATGGACGGTGAGCTTGATCATGGAGGTTTGCATGGACTCTACTGCGACTTTGGATACCTTCGTATGTCGAAGCTAGGGGGGATGTGGACACTTTGCCCCCCTAATGTTTTGGGCGGGGTTGAATCCCCACTAGGTTGAACACCCGAGCTGACCTCTTTTTCAGTGCGTCCTCTTCGGCGCTGGTCATGGTGACGAAACGTAGTCCCGTGGCCCCACGCCCCGTCCAATTCACGTTTTCGATCTTTGGGCCTGCAGCGCATGTTTATTTTTATTTCCCTTGTGGCCTTCCTTCGAAGTCTCGATAGGTTGGATTTTGCCACACTTGCACTATGACGGAGGAACATAGGATTCAGGTCCTTGGCAGTTGGTTGAGCAATATAAGGTCAATTGTTTCGATCTATAGCTTAAACCGTATGGAATAGGCGGTCACGATGAAAGAAAAAACAAGTCGGCGATGCCACAGAGAAACGCCTCATAATGTCATTTTTTACCCCGCGGGGCAGATTCTAGATATGGCGCGAATCCTAGCATATCTCGGCCGTTTTTTCAATACATGTTAACTCACGATAGCTTGGATGAACCGCAGTGTCAACGCCGTCATCATCAAACAAAAAATACAATAAGCAAAGTTTTTCCCGAAAAGAAATCGCTACATGTGCTGAATTTTGGCCTTGGTGGCGGCGGAAAATCTGGTCCAGGTTGTTTGATACCTTGGGCAAATGGCTGCTTATGTCCACCGCCCACAGCTCAAACAAACCGCATCACTGGGATCGCCATGCGAGGAAAGAAAGCTGAAAGAAATGTTGTTGATGTTAAAAAATTATCATGTATTATTGACTGCAACACGTCAACCTTGCTCGTTGCCGATTGAGCTGCAAGACACCACACAGAACGAATGAAAACATAAAAACTGTCATTCCCTTGGAATCTGCAACATGCAAGGACTCAAAACACCACATTGACTCAGGGGGAGGAACCCCTTCATGATACAGGTGCTGAAAGCAAACGCCAATACGCCAATAATCCAACGCAACAAAAACAGTTGCAATCTTGTTGGTGTCTACACCTCTGCATCGCCGTCGGCATCCTCGTCACCCATATACTCCATACATTCGGCAGACAACTCAAGCTGCTCCTGGGCCTCGACGCCATCATCGTGTACGATGTCGTTGTGCCCAGGAGCAGAATCTGTTTAAGAGCGCCCATCTGACCCCTGAGAACAGGGTAACTCGCAACCCACTTGTTCATCTCCTAAACGGCGTGCAGACCCAAGGTGCCTCTGTTCCACAGCGCAGTGCTCGACACCGACGTGTTGGATTTCAACCAGGGGCACGCTGCCCGGAGCGCACACTCAGAGGGTTTCCAAAAAGTTCTGCTTGCGTTACCAATTCAGAACCAGGCTGTTCCCACTCTATTTCCCAGTCAACAAACGGCGCTTCAAGTGCCCATTTTCAGCTGCATATATTGAAAGCAAAATAGAAGGTCTGAGCGCAACTCAGGTATCTACAGAGAACTGTGGTCATGAGATTTCTTTTGATCCCACGTGCATACTCGTGCCCTCCTTCTGGATGTCCAAAGATCTGTTGTGAAGGCCACAAATACATATATTTTCGGACAAAGCATAGAAAAAAACGTTTAAAAAAACACTTTTTTCAGGGCAATTTAGACCTGAATGGTGTGTTCCTTTTAATAGTGTCCCGTACGATGCAGAGGTATGGATGCACGCCGGCGTGCGACGATCGCCGACGAGATACACAGTCCGGCGACATGAAAGCGTTTGAACCTAATATTTTGTTACCGCTGCTTTCCCAGACATCCGGTGGAGATGGTCATGCTCAAGTCCCCCGACAGTGACAGCGGAGCAACGGAAACAGCAGGAGGCACGACAACCGTGTACCAGGGGATCACGGTTGAGGAACTCAGCGCCAGATGGCAGGGAACAGTTGATGAGCTTGGGAGGAGAGGGATCACGGTCACAAACGCCGAGAATGCTTTGGAAGGAGCTCTCTCGATCAGGTCAAAGGCTCAAATCGCCGTTTCAATATGGCGGCCTCCTTTTCACTATCCTCTAGAGCCTACTTTGGTCAATGCTAGGTATAGCATGGTTGCCGTTCGGTGTACACGTTCGTTTCGCAAGCTCATATACGTAGGTCTCGAGTATTTTGTTGGTCCTGTCGGAAAGAACGATGCAACGATGCTTCCCTCGAAAATACGCATGAGTTTGGACCTATGATTCCTCCTGGGCGGATTTTCCAACTCTAACATTTGGCTACACAATGTTGTGCACGCAGGGAGTTCGACGGATCCCTCGTTTGCCACGAGAAATTCGTTTTTCTGGATGTCGTTTGGCTGGCGAGAATCCTCAAGCCCTTACTCAACCACAAGGACCAAGAGATGTTTGACGGCCGTGTGAACCTTGGGGACACGGGCGACACGCGTATCACACTCGACGATCCTTCAGACATCGCTTCGTGGGACAGGCTCAAGAACGAGGGCGTGCTTGAACCCAGGTTGGCGGATGCCATCTGGCCGGATGGCCTGTCCGAGTATGTGCTGCCGACTCTCGCATCCTTAGGTCTCATTTTCCCACTCGAAAACGATCCTGCTGAGGGCCTGGTAGTTCTGTTGAGGCTAAAGCCGCACCGCCCCGAGAGTGTGGGCGAAGTGATCGATACCTTCTGCTCGGGGCTCACCCCGGCATTCCGCGCAAGTTGGAAGGTCTTCCTCGGTGTACCACCTGGTGCGGTCGAAAAGGTGTTGACACGGTGCTGCGCTCTTGGGGGTGTGCAAACATTCTGGCGATATGGGGTGCTTGTGCATGGCGGCCTCGGCGTCCAAGATGAGCGCAGGACATTTGCCGTGGTCGTGGAATACTCGTCTACCGACAATGAGCTTGTTGCTCAAGTTTTCGGCGATATCAGCAGGCCAGGGCCGTGGATGGCGATGTCATACGTCATGTCTGCAGTGAGCTTGATGCTTGTGGATTTTCCAGGACTGCGCTGGAAAGGCTCTCTGAAGTGTCCTCAGCATGGTGACGGAATGCTTTTTGTTAACAAGGTCAGTCCTCCACACGCATATCGTCTGTGGACCAGTGAATGTCCGAGCAGCTTACACTTCTAGGCGCTCGAATCGCGCGGTTCTGGGAACAGTCGACCCCGTGTGGGAATTGTCGTGGTCTATTTCGTCGAATCGATAATGGCATATCGTGTTCATGTTCCAGTATCGTACACATGTGTGAATACAGTGGGAGGACATTTGCTTCTCCTTAACGATGTTGCCATGGGAATCCCATTAGGTGTGACGGTCTCGAGAATTGGGAGCAGATCAGCTAGTGCCAACGTACCGCGAGACCTGAACTGGTGTCAAATCGCACGGGTTCTGTATTGCCAGGCTCTTGCTCTGCTGGTGGTGTTGTAGCGGGAATCTTTGCTACCTGAATGACTTCGGAAACGTGATGCATCCAAGAAGCACGTGACTGCGTAAGAATGACTCTAAATTTCACCGTTTACTGTTNTGAGAATACCCTTTCTCTGTTACGAGTAAGGTCCCTGAAGTGGTGAATAACCGTTCACCAACGGAGGTATTTCGCTCTTATTGAGATGTGGCGAGGATGTGCCAAGCGTGGCCGAAGTGGTTCGGCCGTGCTAAAAAGGTGAAAGTGAGAGAGTGAGCCTTGGTGGGCCCTTTCATCCTCCGTCTGGTCACAGCAGGCGGAGGTTCTTTCTCTGTAAACATCTGCAGACCTGTAGAACTGTGTTCGCAGGGTCTCCGATCTTCACTGGTTGTATGTGCGTCAGTACCGTTAGGAAGATACCTATATCCAGGTTTCCACATTGCCCCCCTTTTTGTTCGCCGAAAATCCATCTTTATTGAAAAATGGTTTTCGGCGCTCATTCTAAGGTGAATGAGGGAATGCCAGTGGAATTGGGTTAGGTTATTCCTTATGGTATGACACAGCTCGTGAATATGATTGTCTCCCCCTCCTCATCGCTGCCGTGTTGAGTAAACACGCGTTACGTTACAACGAGGGGACCCGCACATACCCGAGAACATACTTGATAGGTTGTTCTGGAGTCACTCTGTTTGTGGAGTAACTCGACTTCACCTCATTTGGTGATTGCCCCCGTGTCTCCTATCGTTCACGAGCAGAGATTGTCTTTTAAGACCTTCAAGTCCCTTGTGTGCCAAGGTTTTGGACTTGTTGCGGTGTTTGGTTCGTTTTGACCAACCGCTTGGGTATTGCAATGTTTTTGCTGGACGAGTATCCTGTTTTCAGGAGGCGTACGGTGTATATAACAGTCAAACTGTTTTCTTTTCACGACTCATCGTCAAAACTATTTGGTTGTGACCCCAAACAGCTTCTAGAAATCATGTGACTTGACTTTCCTCGCCAGCGATTGGCCCAAACAACCGCTGGTATAGCTCGCACTTTTGTGGTTGCTATCCTTTTCACCGTTTTTTATGTATTTGAGATACATATTTCTTATTCGCCTTTCGTCCTCTTTTGCTTTTCCGCCGAGTATTTGTGTTTGCGCTTTCCTTGCAATCAGTCGACTTCGTTCGCAACTGTTGTTTGGCGCGTTTACACGTACTCCGTTCTTGGCTGTCGTCCTTGGTGCGTTTCCTTTTGAGGGTGTGCACTTCAGTTGACTTGTTACCAGCCAGATCGATGCTCAGACCATTTTTGGCTCTGTAGGCGGAAATCATTTCATGACATTGTGGTACCTCGTCTGCTCGGTATATTAAGTCCGACTCTGGGCCGTAACCTTGTAACCGCAGGCGATATTTGTAGTTGTGTTGGCTTTTTCGGCCCGGACCTGTTTTGTGGCCCACCACTTTGTCAACGACGTATCTCTCAATTCTTGGTTGATTAACGTCGGTTTCTTTCAGCGACGGCAACGGAATTTGTTTCCCTAAGAAAAATTCAGCCAGTTTTTCGAACTGTGGTGCTGGAGGTTTCTGCCGTGCATGATATTGCTTCAAATGGGCGAGGTGCACAGATGTTTCCCGCGCATCGTCACTTCGTTTTACACGATATACAACCGGTGACAGTTGAGAGCAGACGATATANTTGTCTCGTGTTTGTTGAGAAAAACTCTCGGTATCGGCGGTTGTCCCGACGTGTGGTATCCCAAGAATTACATCTACAGGTAAACGTGGTTGGCGACCGAACATCAAGAAAAACGGTGTCTCATGCATGGTTGTACTAAACGATGTGTTGTACGCTAGTTGTACCATCGGCAAGAGTCCCGCCCAGTTATTTCGCTCCATAGAACTGTGCATCGCCAGCATTGCATGCATTGTGGAGTGCACTCTTTCTGACACTGAATTGCTTTGTGGTCGATACGGTGTCGTCCGGGTTTTCTTGTACCCGAGGATTTCTGTAACTGGAAAATGATCTTGTTTTCAAATTCGGTGCCTTGATCAAAGTGCAACATTTCTGGTGGTCCAAAGATGCTTATTATCCGATCAATTATTACCCGAGCTACCGTTTCAGCAGACTTGTTCGGAATGGGTGTTAAGATTGCGAAGCGTGTGAGATGGTCCATCATAGACAAGACATACTTGCACTTTACACCTCCTGCTGATTCTGATAGGGTTTTGTACTCTACCAGATCGACCGATATTCGTTCAAACGGTCGTTGTACAGGTACATGACCTGTCGGTAACTTCGGACGTCGATGAGCAGTTTTTCTACGCTGACAAGCTTGGCATTCTTCACACCAATTCCGGATGTCGCGATTCATCGATTTCCACCAATACTTCTGACGAATTTTCTCGTACGTTGGTCGGAATGCTAAGTGTCCTCCTGAAAGAGCATGATCATGATAAGCATGCATTACCAAACCAGTTAAGGCTTGTGGCAACACTAGTTGGTCACGGAACGTACTCCTTTGTCGAAGGTGTCCTGGCAAGTACGACTTGAACAGTAGACCGTTTTGTACGGAATAATACGACATTGTTGTAGCCGTTTCGTGTTCAGGTAGCCGCGCTTTCTTGTTTGTGATATACTTGACGTACTCGCCGTATTCCTCGGCTTGTTTCTCGCGTAGTTTGTCACGATCAACAGATTCAAACACTTCTGTCGCACTGGCGAACGAAGCACTGACAGTAAACAACTCGCGGTCGCTAGTCACAGGTTGTACACTATCAAGCTTGTCTGGTGACAGATCGTAAGATCTGCTGGGCGTGGCAATTTGCAACTCCGGATTTTCCGGTACGTTGCGGCAGATCGGAGCAAGAGTTGGTGTTTCGCGTTCTTGGTCTTTTTCAAACACAAAAAGACGCGATAACGTGTCAGGCACTACATGCAACTTTCCTGGTTTATGTTTTACCGTGAAGTCGAAAGATTGCAACGCTATCGCCCAGCGTGTGAGCATGTTTGACGTGTCTTGCATCGTGTAGAGATAACGCAACGCGGCATGATCAGTTACGCACGTAAAATGTCTGCCCCATAGATAAGGGCGCCAGTGCTGAATTGCTAGAACAACACCGTAACATTCTTTCATGGTTGCTCAAAAGTGCAGTTGGCTTTTGTTGAAACGTTGACTAAAGTATGCTATGATCTTCAGGTCGTCTCCATCGTGTTGGGCTAGGAATGCTCCTGTACCAACATTAGAAGCATCGACATGAATAACAAATTCTTTAGAAAAGTCCGGAAAGTTTAACACAGGGGCTGCGGTGAGCAATTTCTTCACTTCCGCAAACGCTTTATCGTGTTCCGGTCCCCAACGTTTTGCCACTGACTTCATAGCCTCTTTTTTTGTGAGGTCAACCAGGGGTGCGGTGACTGTCGCCAAGTTTGGAATGAACTTCCGCACATAGTTGACTGTCCCCAGTACTGATCGTAGCTCTTTGATGTTTGTTGGCGTTGGTATATCTAGTACCGCTTTTATCCGATCCTCACCAAGACGTATTCCATCTGATGAGAGAATGTGTCCCAAGTACTTCACCTCTTCCGGTCCGAATTGTACTTTGGATGGTTTCAAGGTGAGCCCTGCTGCTTGCAAAGCTTGGAACGTGTTTTCCAACAGTTTTAAGTGTCCCTCCCATGTCGATGAACAACAGATTAAGTCATCCATGTACACTAGGAGCCCGGATTTGGGACCAAAATGTGCAAACGCCAACGCCATTGTCCGTTGAAAGAGGAAGGGAGCGTTCACAATCCCAAAGGGAAGTCTTTTGAAAACCCATTTCCCATTTCGTGTTACGAATGCCGTTTTGTCTTGTTCTTCCTCGGCGATTGGTATTTGGTGGTACGCGCTTTGTACGTCACATACAGTAATGAATTTTGCACCCGCTACTGTATCAATGTGGCTAGCCATTTCCGGCATCGGCCACGATTTACGAATCAAATTTTTATTGATCGTGGCTCTGTAGTCTACACAGAACCGGGGAGAGCCGTCGGCTTTTGCTACCAACGTTACTGCTGATCCCCACGGGCTAGGTCTTTGTTCGACAATTCCCGCTTCTTCCATTTCGTAAACACATTTGTCGATTACCTCCTGCACGCGTGGATTTGCGCGGTACGGAGCCCTATTTACAGGCTTTGTTCCTGGTTGTAGGGGAAAATCAGCTTCCGCGATAGTACACTTACCTAGTTCGTCCGGCGTTAATGAGAAAACTGAACGGTATTTCGTACACAATTGCAGTATTTCTTCACATTGTGCTGGCGAAAAGGTGGTATTTTTGAAAGCTTTGGAAAGTGCCTCTTGCAGGTCTTTACGGTGTTTCTCCGTGTCCTCTTCACTCGTTTGAACGCTGCTCGCTGTTTGCGGCAACACTGTTTTTACGGGAGAAATGTACCCTACAAGCGTGTTTTTCTTGAGGTACACCTGTCGATTGGAGGGATTGGCTATTTGCACCATCGCTCCTTTGTTATGCGCTGACCAGTGACACACAGTACGTGCAACTATTATCCTGCGAAATGCTTGTGGGACACCCTTCACCTGCATGTCTTCCGTTGTAACAATGCGTGGTTCTATCAAAGCTGGTGTTGTTTTCGCCGGAGCTTCGCTTGAGTGTACTTCCACCGCTATTTCATGTTGGGCAGGAACACAGCATTTCTTGCTGAGGTAGACAGGTACGGGTTGGGTATCACCGTCGAAAGCTACTATTGAGCAGTTGATTTCATCTGCTGCCGCAGTCGCGGTTTGTTGCGATTTGCGGTGTGTTGCGGGTATTTTTACCCCTGAATTCTTGAATGACAGCTGTTCCGCTTGCCAATCTAACACAGCGCCGAACGCTCCCATGATACTATTATCTAACAGCATCTTGTCAGGTCCTAGCGACGGCAACACTAGTGCTTCAACAGGAATTGTTGTTTCCCCCAGTGTTAGTTCAAAACGAGTGTATCCTCTAATTTTAAGAGGTGAGCCATCTGCACTTCGCAGGTTTATGGCTCCGGGAGGCACGGGAAAAATTTCCGTGTTGTTCAGCGATTGGTGACTGCGCATAAATTCGGCGGAGATACACGGTACGTCACACGCTGTATCGATTGTAACTTGATCAACCGATTGATTGTTTACTCTGGCAGGTACGCGTACGCGTTTTGACGCGGCATTCAACGCGGATGGATTTTCAGGATATCCAGCTAGCGCTGACATGTGGAACGCAGAAAATTCCTCATTATTGTTGTCGGCAGTCAGTTTTCTCGACCTATGCTTCGACTTGAGACCTCCAGCTACTGTAGCCACATATAGAGCCTGCGGTGCCCGGACCGCTGTCGTAACTCTACCCGCGTCTTTTGCGGCTTCGCTGCTATTGCTGGCTGGGGCAACAGTGTCTACCGCTCCAGCTACTTGAGCACTCCTGTCTAGACTTACCCGACGCGACTCTTCTATCACGCCTGGCTGCCTAACACGCGGTACTACGGCTGCTTGTCTGCGGTTCACCTTATCTGCTTCCTGCTTCTTGCCCACCAGAGGGTGAACACGCTTTTTTCGGTGTTCTTTCTCCCTCTTCTCTAACTTGGAACGTTTCCACACGGTTTGTCGGTGGTCAGCTTTCCCCGTTCCGAGTACTGATTTGTTTCCAAGCGACATATTTCCCACGTCAGCCGAGGGATACTGCTGCGTTGGGCAACCCTACGGTTTTTTAACAAGTTGCACGCCCGCTTCTTCCATCTGGCGGACATGTTCACACTCACTCCTCGTGTGAGTGAATCTGCCGGGGCGGCTTCGGCAGAGCAAGAAATCGCAGGGATGCGTAACGGTCGTTTTCCTTTTCTTCGTAGGGTCGGAGGAACCACCACCCCGTGCTTTGTTGTTGTAGCGGCCCGGTTTGTTTCCCGATTTGTGTTGCTGGTCCGCGAACTTCACAGAATTCTTTGGTTTCACGTGCTCCTTCGCGTTGTTGCCGCGGGGCATGGCTGCAACACTGGAGGCGTAGCTTTTGCGTTGGATGGCCTCCTCGAGCTTGTCCACCCGTTCCATCAGCGCCTGATTCTCAGCCGCTAATTGGGTGTCAGCCGGGTCGTACATGGAGGATACGGCAGGGGCTGCATCAGTGGCCGGTATCGGAGATTGTCTCAGCCGGTTTGATTCGTGTTTCCGAGCGCGTCCTTTGGATTCCATGAAGGTTTCGTTGGCATCCTCCCGAAGCATTTCAGTTCGGATATGTGGATGCATACCGTTCTCAAACGATGCGATCATTGCTTTGTCGAAGACATGTTCGTGAGGGGATTTGTTGGCAGGAGCTGTGCGTTCAGCTTCCGCCAGCAGACGCGAGTATGCTCTCGACACTCTAAGCGCGAACATGTCAACAGATTCATCTGACTTGGCCTGTAGGGTCATTACGTCCCGAGCAAGTAGCGCGATTCTGTTGGCAGGTGCGAAAAGGGTGGTTAGAGCAGTGACCCATTCCCGCCATGTATTGGGGGGTCTGCGTGTGGTCGTTTCGCCTCGAGCGCGAAGGTTGGCTAGCATGGGCTCTGGCCTCCATTCGAGTGCTGAACTGAGTACGAGGTTGAGGCTCTGTGCTGCTGCACCTTGCGTTACCAGAGGTAGGTGTTTAATAGCACGGTGATCAATTTCTTGCTCCGACACGTTATCCTGAGAAAGAAGGCTGATACGCGAACGATAAAGAGCCATCATTTCAGGGATGTCCTCTGCCGCTTTGCCTTCGATTTTGATCGACGGTGGCAGGTCCGTGGCTTTGAGCGTGAACCGTTTCATGCTAGTGTTTGCCTGCTGTACCGAGTTGTGCTGCTGTGTGTCATCATTTATGTTGACGGCGGCGTACGGAATGTCAGGACTTGTGTGTGCCCCTACGTTGTTCGGGGTATTTGCCAACAGAGCCATCGAAGAATCTGCCATCTGTACGTTGTGACGGGATTGCGGGGTTCGATTTCCTGCGTTGCTGGCGTTGTTGACAACTGCGCTGTGTGCGGTCAAGTTTTCTTGCACCAACTCACTGCTAAGACGGCGAGGGTTCACCTGTGCGATGCCCGGATGCAGGGCAGACGTTCCCAGCGCCAGTTGGAGCACGACAGGGTGAGGGTTGCTGCCCTCACGCACTGCTGTCTCCAGCTCCCGAAGAACGAACTTTTCGAGATTGCTGCCTTTTTGAAGGCGGCTACCTCCAAAAGCTCCCTCTTCCACGTGGGCTCCGAGGATGTCGCCTGCCACGCCGCGCGATTCTGCGTCGCTCAGCTGGCCCTCCTCGTCGTGGTCGTTGTCGTAGTCGTTGTTCTGGCGGCTTTGCGAGTCGGAGTCGTTGTCCGACTCTTCATCACTGCTGGATGAGTTCTCGCCCTGACTCGTTTTCGAGTCTTGGGTGTTGGGCCGCACCTCTGCTGCCCCTGCTGATTTCTCAGCTTTGCCGCCGGAGTCGGGTTGCTCAGCGGCTGCAGCTTTCTGCTGCCGTGGCTTGTCCGACTTCCTGCTGCCGACGGTGATAAAACCATCGTCAGCCGACTGGGAAGGAGGTTTTCCTCCCTTCCCTGAGGAAGATTTCTTCCCCGTTCCAGAGGGAGGTTTTTTTCCCTGCTGCTGTTTCTCAAACGGGTTGGGTGTTTTCTTCCCGGGATTCGGCATTTTTATGCTGTATCCCCCCCCGCGATCAGTTTGACTTTCGTCGAACGCCAATGAGAATACCCTTTCTCTGTTACGAGTAAGGTCCCTGAAGTGGTGAATAACCGTTCACCAACGGAGGTATTTCGCTCTTATTGAGATGTGGCGAGGATGTGCCAAGCGTGGCCGAAGTGGTTCGGCCGTGCTAAAAAGGTGAAAAAGAGAGAGTGAGCCTTGGTGGGCCCTTTCATCCTCCGTCTGGTCACAGCAGGCGGAGGTTCTTTCTCTGTAAACATCTGCAGACCTGTAGAACTGTGTTCGCAGGGTCTCCGATCTTCACTGGTTGTATGTGCGTCAGTACCGTTAGGAAGATACCTATATCCAGGTTTCCACATTCCATCATTTTGCAAAGCATCAAGGTGTTTGAGACGATACGCAGGTCGACATGCGAGCTTCATTTGTCGCGCTTACAACGGTCAAGGTGTTGCATCCCACTTGTCAGGCGACAAGAGATGGAGACAAAGTTCTGGAAGGCAGCAGGTGCCCAAAATGCAGTGCCGATACCGGAGGGCTCGGGGCCGCGGCTATCGATCTCTTGCGTGTAGTGGACATCCGACTGGACCGAGGTGTGCACGACCAATGTCGAGGTTGGAGTACCTTTCAAGTGTGAGAGTGCCACAGGAGTTCGATTTGCGTTTCTTCATGCGCGTGATGTCTGCCACTTGTGCGATCGCAGCGACGCCAACGGAATGTTATATTTTTTCGCATGGTTTTGCTAGTTTCAGGCGCACCCCTCTGCGAGAGCTCGGATTTGCCAAAGTGAATAAGATCGCATCAGATATCCGTCTTTTTGTTTCTATCCCCCGCAATATCCTTGCCCTCCGCGATACTAATCAAAATTGCACGGGGTGAAGCTTTACCAAATATCTGTGTATTTCTGTACCAGACCTGGGAGCGTTCCCACATTGCAATCGAGCACACGCAATACGCAAACCACCCTCACACAGAACTACAGTTCGGCAGAGTCGTGCTACGAGTGACGAATAGTGTGGTAGACTGAGAATTTGCTGGTGGCGATGTACGAAGAACAACAACGACCGGATCTCTGTTGAAGTTGATCACGAAGCTCACGGCCGATAGGCTACTTGGGGTGGTTTTGTTGACGTGTTTGCAATCCTGTGCGTCAACTCCGACCCTTGGTGATTCCGATTTACTATGGAGTTTATTTTTTCATATCCCCTTTTTCCTCCAATCCTATTCAATTGCTCCCACCTGCGCATTTGACTCCTACGTTTTCGGCAATGGTTGGCTACATGTAGCCTTTGCCGAATGCAGCGTCACCATGTCCTCGTGGATACGTCTACGGATAGATTGCAAGCGTTTTGGCGGCACGAGATTGATTGTGGTTCTGTCGCGTTGTCTCCGCCTTGACGGGGTCGACGTCGAGGCTGGCTTTCGTGCTTGCGACATGTTGCACGTAGTGCAACGAAGTAGGAAATACGGAGGAATGAACTCGATGTCGCCAGCCGAGTCAAGTTTCGACCGTTGTCGTCACCCTCGAGGGCCACCCATGGGGGCATGCTGATCACAAGCATCGTGTCGTGAGCGAGAGAATATGTGTTCGGGCATGCTGACGTACTTAGTCCGTTTCTTTTTGAAATTGCAGACGTGATTTTTAACGAGGTGAAGGCGAGGTTCGACGACCTGGAGAGTCAGTACTGCTTCGCTTGCCCGGCGGTGAGAACGGATCGCGCGTCTTCGGTTGTAAAGATTGCGCAACCGAACTAATCGGAGTGATTTTGGCGGCATCAATGTGCGCTACGGTATGATCCGATGGAGAATGACCGACATCAGGTTTTGAGTTCTTCCATCGGCAATCTGTGCCCATCGTGGACCAAAGCGAACGAACCCGCTAGCATATAGCTCTGGCCTGTTTCGGTGAGCTTTCGGCGATTCGGTTTGCCGTCGGTTATTCGCGTGCTTTTTCGCCGCTGCTCGTAGCGTGTGACCATCCATTTCGAATGTAAATCTTGGGAGTATGGAGCGCCTAAACGACGTACGGACTAATGACATCCTTCGGATGTTCTACAATGTTGATTGCTCTCGAAGCCCGCCCACAATCACCCTCCCCGGGCATGATTGGCTGATGGCAAGTTCCGCAAGCCGGCCTGTTCTGTGGCTTGTATCTTCAGCGGCTTGGTCTTGTGTGTGGTAGAGAGAAGAATCGAAGGCACAATGTTGATGTTGCCGTGTTCCTTTGCTCCTCGCTCACCGCCTCGTCTGCTGCGCAATTGTACAGCACCATCACGTTCCGATAGTATGGGTAGTATTGGCAGTAAAACTTCACTTCTGTGACGTCTACCTATTCGCCTTCGTTGGGAAAGGGTGCGCTGAAGGCATATGCTGACATCGCCTATTCCACATTGCAATCATCTGCCCCTCCTGCCTGGCTCATGGTGTCTCCGCAATGTCTGCGAACCAGAATTGTGGTTCTTTTTCGTCGTGGCACACGTTTGTTTTAGCTTTGTACAGTGCCGCTGAGTGCCGTCGTCCTGCCCCTGCGGTCGCGTCGTGATTGTACAAAGCAGGATACCTTCAGGAAGGAGGGCGAGTTGATTCGAAAAATCGTGGCCACAGCTGTGAAGGGGGGATTCGCTGAGGTGGAAGAGGAGATCAGCAGCTTTAAGGACGAGATTAAGGAAGCAATCAACGAGGTGAAGGGCGACACAAAGGGAGGATTCAACGCGGTGAAGGACGAGATGAAGGCGGGATTCACTGAGGTTGCAGGGGGATTCACCAGCGCGAAGGGTGAGATGAAGGAAGGATTCAACGAGATGAAGGGTGAGGTCAAGGGAGGGTTCGACGACACCACGACCGCGTTGCGTGACGTGAAGGACGAGGTGGAGGGGGGATTGGGGGACACCGTGACCGGGTTGCGTGAAGTGAAGAAGGAGGTGAAGGATGGGTTCGGCACGATGCAGGGAAGCTTGGACAAGGTGCTAGAGAGCAGCCAGGAAAGCCTCATGCGCCTGAAGGACTTGCAGGCCCTGAACTACCGTTACCCTCGCCTTGTCATCGTCAAGGAGGCTGGAATTTGTGGCAGATCTTCGAAGGCCACTGGGTGGAAGAGGTTTCTTCCGAACAAGTTTCGTGGCGTGGGGAAGAAGGACATGGCACTTCATTTCTTGTGCCCGGTCGACATGACGAAGGTGCCGTGCGGCTATGGTGGTGAAGGCTACCGATTTCAGGAGACGCGGGACTGGGTGAAGAAAATATCGCCTGTGCTTCAGGTATGACAAGGACATTTGGAAGAGGCCGGTCGGAGTCGGTGACGCTGTTTCAGGTGTGGTTCAACAGAGAGGCTCTACGGTTCCTGATACCCTCCTATTTTGGGGGAGGGGAGTCGCATTCCGAATGAGCAATTGTTCCCATGCAATACGGTTGCAGGGGTCACGTCTTTGACTGTCAAGACTCTGTTTCCTGGCGTAATCCTTGTGATGCGTAAGTGACGATGAGGTTCGGTGGATTCGTTGTTGTCCTCTTGGTCATGCTCTATCTTCCTTTAGGTGGCGGTGGTGACCGCGAAGGTGGCGCTGAACGCGACGACAGGGCTGAACGTGGATATCTCGGATTTCCTGAAGGACGTGAAAGATGGATTGGTCGAAGAACTTGTCGACCGCACTCTCGACGAGGACGCGCTGCTTCGTGCTGTTTTGGGTGAGGACAGCATCGGCGCAGATATGCAAAGGGATACAAGGGCCTCGTATGAGGCGCTGAAAGTTTTCATGGAAAACGAGGAACGCAGGAGGCGGAAGAACGCCCGGGATGGTGATGGCTACATAGACTTCAGGGAGGAGATGAAGCGTGTCACCAACGGGAGGGGCGGGATGGTGTGGGTTCGGAACGACAACGTTCAAAAGTGGTTGGAATCGCGTTCGACTGCCGCTCCAACTCGCTAGACGTCGGTCTCGTTAGATGCAGCGTATGCACATGAAACCACCCTAACCGCGGACGTTGTAGTGCCCACGGGGTACAGACTGGATATCACCGCGAGCGAATGTTTCGGCTCGGGGAGAACGAGCGCATCTCGTTGTTCTGTGTTCGGTGTCTGACCGTCAAGTTCCCGAAACACCGGACCTTTGTAGAGGGAGTAGTTGTCCAGTGTCCCGAGAATCCACGCATTCCGGTAGCTTGCGTGATACGGCGGGAGTTCTTCGCACATACGGGGGTGTTCTTGCAGGCTATGGTGGGCACCGTGCAATGGATTGCACAAACTCTTGTTCTTGCACACGTTGTGTCTCAATGGAGTGGCTGTGGTTGATGCCTGGAGGTCGCGTTTTGTTGCCTGATGCAGTTGCGTTGTTTTCATGTGGTTTTTGTCCGCTTTCATTTCATGTGTCTCCCACAGACCTTGGTGGTCGTTTTATGTTTTGTGCGCCCTTCCAAAAAAAGGGAACAGGGAATTCAAAAATGTTTTCTGACTAACCACAACATCGTTCGTTGGAACACTTTCGGCCTCCCAGGTTGTTGCCTGTGGACGGATACGCCTCAACATTCCGTTAATGAAGAGTAAGGGTGCACGAAAAACGTTATCCCGCCCACGTACCGTAAGTAGGGCGCAGGGCCCAATTTGAGAATATTTGCTGTACATGCCCTCTGTTGTTTGTAGGAGGGGTGTTTTTTCGCACAGTGCTGGCACGGAGAAAAGAAACCAGGTTTTGGCTCAGTTTCTTCTTTCATCGTCACTGTCGAGCATGTGTTGGTACATATGGTAGAGCTGTGTTTCTTAACCCTATTTTCTTATTTTGCGCAAGAAATTGAGCCTCTGGAAGACAACCTACTATTTCGATTTTGACCGATGTCGAAAAAGACGCACGAGGGTCATAAAATGCTCACAACACCAATGGGAAGGCCTCGGAAAACCAGCAAACGCTGGATTCTCGCACATGACGGCAGTAGAGGCTGCTCTGAACATCCATAGCATGCAGCTGCCTCCATACGCCTCCTTTGCAATCGGCGGCGGGGCCCGAACATGTGAAAATGGCACGAAAGCTGAGAAACATGCCCCCGGCAACGAGTTGAGATCTGGGCAGTAGGTAGGGCGAGAAGAGATCTGGGCTTGTAGATACACTTCGACAGGAAAACTGCGAACAGTTTAAACCAGCAATGCGATGGGTTGGAACTGAAAGTGGAAATGAAAATGGCAAGCAAGAGAGTAGGAGGCATATGCCTATTGTTGAATTGCGGAAAAAAATTGAAAGGGAAAAGTACATTTTGGACGCGAAAAGTGACGCACGAAAGAGACGTGGAAATCACGTACATACCCAACAACGTCTGAACGAAAAAAATAATTGGGGAAGCGGTGATAGCGAAGGCACATAGAAAACAAAAGAACCTTTCCAGCGAACACGATGATATGGGTGAACGATGCTTAACAGTATTCATCGATGAACATCGTGGACGATACCTTGGATGGACACACTCGAAAGGGGGCAAAACATTGAAATGGTCAAGAGAGTAACCGATGCACAACTTCATCAAACGATTGTTAGAGTCAACGATTCTGAAGCAACAACGGTGCGTGGTGCAATGCTCAACGATCGTTTGGCATGGAGATTTGAAGGAAAGACTCAAGGTGGACACAGTCAAAGTACTCAAGAAACGACAGCCGAAGGCACGCGAGAGCAACAGCAATCAACTGAGCAAAGAATACAGGGGGGGGGGGGAGACCGAAGTAGAAACTATGATGCAGAGGGGTGGCCGAATTCAGGGAGAAAAAACGAAGGAAGGAAAGCAGATAAACGCAGAAACTATTCCGTGTCATCGCCGTCGCCAGAGGCGTCATCATCGGAGTGGGCATCGTGGTTATCGTCGTTGTTATCGTTTTCGCCGTTGTCGAGATCGTCGGTGTCGTCGTCGTCGTCTTCGTCTTCTTCGCCGTTGTCGTCTCCTTCGCCGCCGGGGGAAAAGTCGGGGTCCTGTTCGTCGTCTGAGTTGTCATCGTCGGTTCTTCTTCGGGTTCTTCTCCAGGAGAGTCGGCGAGGGAACGGGATGGGGAGCGGAGTGTACGATTTTTGCCTTTCGTCGGGCACCTGAGGGAAGACTTCCGTCTCTTGTTGGGGCCGGGGCTGTTGGGAGAGGCGCCCGCGCCGGCGGTAGGGCGAGCGGCGAGATCAATCGTTGTAGAGTGGGTGTCTCGGATAGGCGTTCGATGATGGTGACATTGTTGGAGAGGGCGACGATGTGATAGCCCCAACGGTTCTGATGCACCCATGACTTCTTCTCGACAGCGGCGATGAAGGTGGTGTCGAGGATGTAGCTGGCGTGGAAGTTCTTGTCACAGTTGCCGCGGTCGATGAATTCCTCACCGTCACCAAAAGCACTTCTTGAAGAGCCTGAGAAAGGGGACGAAAAACAGGAAAGAGGACGAGCAGACGTTTTTTATTGGAAAGTTGCAGAGGATCGAAAATGACGAAATAGGGTCGCGTCGAGCAAATCGTAGCGTGTGTGTGAGTCTGAACGACCGCACTGGCGGCAGAATGTACAGTTGAAAACACATTTAACACAACGTTGTGCGATTTTCCCCTTTGCGCGGAGGGAGGGGTCTCGACGCCGCACAACAGAACCTACTAGACCACCATTGTGGTTACCGCTAAAAGGAAGCACAGGCGAAAACAAGAACGGTAACCTGGTTGCCGAACTCACGAAGTGATCGGCTTGTTTTACAACGTCGTTGCCAAGGGACAAAAACCCACCGCGATGGCAAACACCGGGGCCGGTGATAGAGGGAGGGGGAGTCTATGGTATAGAAGAAGGGTTTAGTGTTGAACTATTTAGCCCTGTGCTTAGTTATGTGGGATTTAGTGTGGGAAACTAAAACGTATACTCGGTATAATATTTGTATGGGATTTAGTGTAACCAATACTTCACCCAATGCACCCCTGTAAGTTGGGTATTAGAATGGGACACTATGGCCTACTTATACGATACAGTATGGCCATTCTCGAACCAATATAACCACATTTTGTATGAGTATGGGGCTTGGAATGCGATACAAAAAACACCACCGATTGTAAGGTCGTGGCCACTAAGAATGCAAGTGGAGTCTCCAATCACTCGCGTGCGTGATCATGTTTGTGCCTTCCTCACAATCATCCTCAGGACGAAGAGTCCGTGGAGCGGAAGCGGAGGGAAGAAGCGTCTGAGGCCGAGGCGCGCTCCCGAAGGCGGAAACAACAACAGGGGGCGGCCGACGGCGGGAAGAAGGGAGAGGGTGGGGGTTCTGGAGTGGGTAGTGGGGGCAAGCTCGCCGGCAGCGACCACAAGCGTGGCGAAACGGGTGGAAGCCAACAAAGTGGGGGTGGTGGACGTGGCACTGGACATGGACAAGACACCATGGACCACGA